ATACCTTTTTGTATATGTTGTCATATTAAACATCATAGAAAAACAATTACGATAGATTTTATATTAAGTCTTATTTCATTGAATCTAAAGATTATGTAGATTATTGAACTAATATTTTATTTTTTCTTTTTTTAAAGTATATTTTATTGTTTTTTACAGAGAGGAAGGGAGAGAGATAGAGAGTTAGAAACATCAATGAGAGAGAAACATTGATCAGCTGCCTCCTGCACACCCCGCACTGGGGATGTGCCCGCAACCAAGGTACATGCCCTTGACCGGAATCAAACCTGGGACCCTTGAGTCTGCAGGCTGACGATCTATCCACTGAGCAAAACTGGTTAGGGCTATTTATTATCTTTTTATCCTGAACATGGAATTTCTCTGAGTAAGAATGATATGCTTTTAAATTGGTCCAGTCAAGGCATGGAATCAGTCAGTTATTACAAATTCTATACTAAGCCTTCATTCTCCTTAAATGGCTTAATGGAAAGGTTTTCTGAAGAATTAATTAAACGAGTTATACTTTTAACACATCAAACATTGACCTTCACAGATTATCAAAAGTTAAACCTCACAAGTTAACAGAGGTGAAGAAATTCAGGTCAAGAAATTTGAACAAAAAATCATCAGCTGGTTTCTAATATATCTTGGGTGCTTTTTATCCAAACTGTATCGAGACCATTCGCACTTTGTAAAAGGCTTTCTCTAGAGTGGAGGCCATTTATTCTTTGAGTCTCTTGATTTCACACCACCTGATAATTATAAACCTAATATTATTTTTAAGTGTTCAGCTCCGAAGACATGGAGAAGAGCTGATGGCAAAATAATTGAGATGGAAACACAGTTCATTATCAGAGCCAGAGAGCTTCAAAACATCTATAAATGTATTATGCTGAAAAATCTCTCCCAAGATGAGAGGCTGGACGTACTCTTAACACTTAAACATACTGTGAAGGTACATTAACTCTCTCTTAGTTTGGGGATATTCTTAGCATTATCAATAAAAAAAAATTGAATGCTGAAATAAATTAAATGTTTGCATTCAGTAATTATAAAAATGATTGATAAATGTTTACATAAATTGTGTCAACAACTATACTATTTTGGTATAATTTGGAGAGGATATGGCAGGGGTGGGCAAACTTTTTGACTCGAGGGCCACAATGGGTTCTTAAACTGAACCGGAGGGCAGGAACAAAAGCATGGATGGAGTGTTTGTGTGAACTAATATAAATTCAAAGTAAACATCATTACATAAAAGGGTATGGTCTTTTTTTTTTTTAAGTAAACATCATTACATAAAAGGGTACGGTCTTTTTTTTTTTTTTAGTTTTATTCATTTCAAACGGGCCGGATCCGGCCCGCGGGCCGTAGTTTGCCCACGGCTGGGATATGGGTTATGCAGTGATATTTATCTAAAAGTTCTCAAACTATATATTATGGCACATAATAAATATAAAAATGCTGAATACAAAGGGCTGAAATAAATGAGTAATCATTAACATAAAATAATAGAACATTTTAATAAAAATTAATATTTTTTCTTGAATATTAACTTACCAGACACTGAATAACTGCACAAATTAATAAGTGTAATGCAAAATAAACCTATTTTTCTTGTTCTCTGAAAGGGAAATATTTCCTCCTGCGCACACCGAACAAGTCAGTCCAAGACTAATGATGTGGCAATCAGCTGCTAAAATGTTTGCTGCTAGTATTAGTGGAGAGAAATGGTGCGCCTGCATGTAAGGAGTGTAAGGGAAATAAATGCAACACGATTATAATAGTCAGTCCTTAGCAAATGTTGTAGTTCGTTATTAATAATTATGTATAACAGGATATTGTAAAAATTAAGTTATGAAATTTTTATTAAAATATTTCTTACATACCGTTATATTGGCTGGGCCACAAAAATATTCATTGTGGGCCACATGCTGCCTGTGGGTCATGAGTTTGACATGCTCGGTCTAGAGAACAAAGGGCTGAACCAACCAGTACCGCTCAGGGAAGCTCACATTTGTTGCCAGGCCTGCTCTGTGATTGGAGCCCAGTGAACACGCTCCCAGGTTTGAAGCCAGTGAATACCCCTCAGAACAGTCTGGGTTGGGCTTGAGTGATCACTGATTCAGGAAGGTCTTAGTTTCCTTGGTCCCCAGAGGTCTGACCTTCCTCGCTGGTCTTTTCCTTCAGGGCCCAAGAAGGGAAAGGGATAGGGGAAGGTGACACTCTATGCTGCTGTTTACTGCACTCATCCTTAAATGGTACATCAAGAAATGCCCGTTACATGGAGGCCAAAAATACCCTTCCTTGTCTGCATTAGGTAATAAAAGCCATACAGTGACTTACGAGTTTAATTCGTTCTGTGACGGAGCTTGTAACTCAAGTTACTCGTATGTCAAATCATAAAGTGAACAAGTGAGACACGTGATGCTGGGCTGATGTTGTTGCGTTCACTGTGACGTTCACTGCGCCAACTAGCGGTGGGATATCTGTCCCATGGTCATAAAAGCCTGGGGGGATTAGGCTTAAGCTGGCAGGTGGACATTCCCCAAAGGGTTCATTTTATGGCTCATAAAAATTCTGGCTCGTAACCCGAATTTTAGCTCTCAACTCAAAGCAAAAAATCGGCCGAGAGAGACGGCTCATATCTCGAAAAACTCGTTAGTCGGGACACTCGTAAGTCAAGGCCCCACTGTATAGGGTAGGGCAAAAGTAGGTATAAAGTTGTGAGTACAGAAAATATTGAGTTTATTCTTGCATTATTATCTATTAATTATTGTATTGTTTTCTATAGCTGTAATATCAACTGATGAGCTCACTATTTTACCATGGTAAATAACTTATTTTACAAAATCATTTCATCTCCTTTTTGTGAGATTTGTAGCCCCCAGGAATTGGGACCTCTAAACTTGCAGAGCACACAGTTGCAGGGACAGGAAACAAACATCCCCAAAGTAGTGAGTGAGGCCATTTCTACTCTACGCCCTTGGTTTCCAGGGTAGAGCAGTTTCAAGGGCTTCTGCTTCGTCTTCCCCATCACAGAAGCACAAGAAATCAAGGGAAAGGGGGCCTGTGCCAATTACCGAGTATTCCGTTCCAATGATATGTGTCAGGACCAGGGAAATGAATGCTGGGTGGGTCTCTGCACCTAGGGGACCCACTGTGAGCAGGACCTGGGTCAGAATTCCATTTAGTTGTTTGTTCCCAAATACCTCCACTCAGGGTCCTGGCCTTTGTACCCCTACATTGATTAGTCATTTGATTTCAGGGTGTTCCAGGGAAGAAAGCATGGCCTTGACTGAGGAAGTCCTTTTAAGTCGATGGCGACTCTTTTCAGCCAATGTGGCTTTCTTCCGCTGAGGGCAACCTAGAGGGAGGCTCAGCTGGGAGTTGCCAGCCGCCGGCCCTGTCCACAGCAGGGAGACGGAGGGCTTTGGTTCTGAAGTGGGGTAATCCGGGCAGCACATCACAGCATTCACTATAATGAATATGTCTTCTGTATCCTAAATAAAGGGGAA